GCCTAATTGCATTCATACCCCTAAGACTCCCCCCCTTTTCCAAAAATCATTGGCACACCCCTTTTTCGCACTTCCACGCCCACATCCCACTCCGATCTGGAAGTCGCGTTGGGCGTGAGGTTGGGCGTCACATACCCCGAGTCTCACTTACCCGAAATCTCAACTTCTGACCGTAGATTAGGATGATCAACGGCCGGAAATGAAGAATCAGCGTAAGCGGGACTTGGCCCCGGGTGTAATGTAGAGGAGGACCCCGGCCTCTGGGTTGAACGAGTAATGAAAATTTGAAATTTGAGGCCGGGATCCTCTACATTGCACCCGGGGCGAAGTCCCACTAGCAGCGTTGAGCTACCTCAACGCCTGAATCTGGACGCTTTTGCGGAGATGTGCAGAAATGGTGTTGAGTTTCCTGAACTGGACGTTTCCACAAACACGTTCAGATTCAGGCATTGAGGTAGCTCAACGCTGCTAGTGGGACTTGGCCCTCGGGGCCAAGTCCCATTTAGGCTGATTCTTCATTTCGGGCCGTAATGGAAATTGTTGGGTGCAGCTCCCGCATGCTCCCTTGTTGGAGGCTTGAGCATGGGGGCCAAGTCCTGAATCGGTTCGGTTTCCTAGCCAGTGTGACGTTGAGCGGCACTAAATACGTGGAATAAAATATCGGCGCTGTGAAATTTGGACATCATAAAAACGGTCAGAGCCCTGCCATTCCCTTCTCAACCATCGCATCATTCAGACCTCCACCGCAAAAGTCACGCATCTTCACTGCACACGCCCATCCCCTCGACCCTGGAATGTCCCCGTGCACAACTAAGGGCCAGATCCCACTAGCAAAGAGGATTGGAGTAAAGGTCTCGTTAGACACTCCTAAAAGAATCCTAAAATTTTTAGGACGAGTCCTAAAGGATTTTTAGGATTTCGTGCGGCGTCGTTACACGCAATCCTAAAAATCATCTTTTAGGATTCGTCCTAAAAGATCTCCTGCGGCCCGTTTTCATATGCGTATACGCAGCCGCGTCGCCAATGTCCATCCATTCCTGCCAATGTCCGTCCAATCCCCGCCAACGACTACCATTCGTGGCCTTTGCCCTTGTCGACCCGCAGAAAACTTCCGATGTCCGACCGCTGACCCGACGGACTGCTTCTGCACCAGCAACTCTGTGTCAACGGTGCCAAGCGCGTAACGCAAAGAGTCCCTGAAACGCGGGAATCCTAAATTTTTCAGTAGGTCGGGGGCTACTGGAAAATTTAGGACGATTTTGCCTGGGGAATCCTAATTCCTTTAGGACTCGTCCTAACGCCGTTTTCACATTTTCTATCTAAAAATTGGATTTAGGATTGCGTGCAACCAAGCCCCAATCCTAAAAACAGGCACTTTTAGGAGTGTCTAACGAGACCCTAAGTGGCTGAATCTGGACGTGTTCCACACAGAGATGCAGAAAAGCAGTTCAATCACAACTGGTTGCACCTCTCCACAAACACGTCCAGATTCAGAGGCTTAGGGTCTCGTTAGACACTCCTAAAAGTGCCTGTTTTTAGGATTGCATCTTGGTTGCACACAATCCTAAATCCAATTTTGAGATAGAAAATGTGAAAATGGCGTTAGGACGAGTCCTAAAGGATTTAGGATTCCCCAGGCAAAATCGTCCTAAATTTTCCAGTAGCCCCCGACCTACTGAAAAATTTAGGATTCCCGCGTTTCTCGGACTCTTTGCGTTGCTCGCATGGCACCGTCGACACAGAGTTGCTGGTGCAGAAGCAGTCCGTCGGGTCAGCGGTCGGACATCGGAGGTTTTCTGCGGGGCGACGCGGGCAAAGGCCACGAATGGTAGCCGTTGGCGGGGATTGGACGGACATTGGCAGGAATGGATGGACATTGGCGACGCGGCTGCGTATACGCATATGAAAACGGGCCATGGGAGACCTTTTAGGACGAATCCTAAAAGATGATTTTTAGGAATGCGTGTAACGACGCCGCACGAAATCCTAAAAATCCTTTAGGACTCGTCCTAAAAATTTTAGGATTCTTTTAGGAGTGTCTAACGAGACCCTTATTCCAATCCTCTTTGCCAGTGGGATCTGGCCCTGACAGTCACGGCAACTGTATAATCATTAACCATGTCCACCACGTTCACAGCCTGCACTTCCAAACAGGCATTTTCTAGGGACAGGCTCGCTCTGGCCCACCCCAAGTCGAGGGAATCCTTGGCCCCTCTTCACGCACTCAGTTTTTTTTTTTTTTTTTTTTTTCCTGTTCGAAATAGGGCAGTGGCATAGGGACTCGACCCAATTCGAAACGGGTTTGATTCCCTAGCCGACCTCAGAGCGGCTAGGGACTAAAACCGACGAGCCTCTTTTCCTACAGAATACACGGGCTTCGTGGCCAATAGGAACACTGAATGTTCTGACTAATGGCGTTTCTTTTTCTTTTTCCGTAAGAAACCTGCACCCTGCGATCAATACAGATCATCGGTTTCAGACGATGCCGCACAAATACCGGACCGAGTGAATCGGCAGTGGGACTTGGCCCCGGATGTGGCTGCTACCGGGTTCCCGTAATACTACAATAATGACAAGAAAAACACCTGAAAGGCCGTCCTGTCCAGATTTGACAGGTAATTGAAATCGGTTGGGAAAAAAAAAAAAAAAAAAAAGGGCACCGGGGCCCCACTCACTTTCCTCGAAGTAGGACAAGACGGGCCCAAGCCAATGACGATGAGCGAGCTGAAAGGGTGAGAATAGGGTCAAGTCGTCCTTGCATCTGGATCCAGCATCCCCCTCTTTTCCCTCTTCCGATATCATCACACACATCGGATTGACCGGCCCCAGGTAAAAATTCTGTCAGAAACTCTTTCGCTCTGGATTCGAACTTCGGTCTGTAGCTCTGTAGCTGAACACAAGACAAACTCATAGGTGTCCCTCCCAGCTGAGCAAGGCCCACTTTTCAGCGTCCCATTATGAAGGACGGTATCCCTCCGGTCCACTTTCAACGTTTGACACGAAGGACAATCATATTTGACACGAAGTGCGAGCATAAGGTTTTCGTCTTTTTTTTTTTTTTTTTTTTTTTTTTTTTTNTTTTTTTTTCTCTTTCTGTTTCTGGACAGAAAAGAAAATAATAAAAAAGAAAATGTTTCAGTGCATGTCAAAAAAAAAAAGAAGGCGGGTAACATAACGTCACGAGGGTGTGAGTGAGGTGGCACACGTGTCGGGATCTAGACGGAGGTGACTGACTGCAGCTTTTTTCACGGTGATTCCATCCAAAAGGGCAAAAAACAGTTGCAATTAGTGCGAATCGAACATTATATTATATATATTTGTATTTGTATAGCCCCTCGTTTGTTGTCCTCTTCTCCCTCTCTGCCTACGGTTTACGGGGAGCAGCTCTGTTTGACAATGAGGGCAATGAGGGTCTCGCCGCAGGTCACAAGAAACGAAAACGAAACGAGAGCATCTGCCCACGAAAGGTGGCAAAAAATACACTCGTTACCATTTATAGCAAACCGATGAACATGGCCATTTTCTGCAGGAAGATGCACTCGTTTCGTTTTTCGTTTCGTGTCCCGTGCGGCGACGCCCAATATAATATATATCTCTCTGCCTACGCGTTACCGGGCAGCTCTGTTTATATATCGTCAAACAGAGCTGCCCACCCAAGAGCCCAGCTCAGTGGGTACACCCATGAACTGTTGAAATACAGACCTGTGTTCGAATCCAGATGATGGAACTTGACAAGTGAAACCAACTACTAATGAATTGCTTGGGGCCGGTCAGCTCAATGGTAATATCTCAAGGCCATCGCCCTAAAAAAAAAAAACAGAGCTGCCCCGCAAACCGTAGACAGAGAGGGAGGGAGAAGAAAAGAGGACAAGAAACGAGGGATCTGTTTGACGATATATATATACATATACACATAATATATATTTGACCTGACCACAGACAGCCCGTGCAGTGCAGGGCCGAATGGTACAGACATGTGAATGTTGTTGGAACAGACCAAGTGTTCGAATCCTGTCTGTCGTAGGAAAGCACATGACCACAATACATTACCCGAATACACCGTTGATCAGTAGTCCGGGTACAGGACGATCGCTTCACTCCACCCCCTGGTCTCCCTAAATAGCGTGTTTTTCCCTTGCTCCCCGCCGGCCCCGCCCCCCCACCCTTTCAATTCAAGGAATGGACAGTATGACAGGCGATGCCGAGATGGTCATCTCCAAAACACGGTAAAGTAAAAGCGGAAGAGCGGCATTGCAAGGAGAGTGGCGAATGATAAACAACGGATGAGAAGCCAGGCCAGGTGCTGCGACCAATGGTTGACAAACGAATCGGGGGGAGAGAGAGAGAGAGAGAGAAGAGAGCTTGAATGCCAGTATAAGTCCACAGAGAGAGAGAGAGGAGAGAGAGAGAGCTTGAATGTCAGTATAGTTCCACACGCAGAGAGAGCTTGAATGTCAGCATAAGTCCACACACAGAGAGAGCTTGAATGTCAGTGTAAGTACACACACAGAGAGAGAGAGAGAGAGAGAGAGCTTGAATGTCAGTATAAGTCATCACACAGAGAGAACTTTAATGTTAGTGCAAGTCCACAGAGAGAGAGAGAGAGAGAGAGAGAGAGAGAGAGAGCGAGCGAGCTTGAATGTCAGTATAAGTCCACACACAGAGAGATACAAGTCCACACACAGAGAGAGCTTGAATGTTAGTGCAAGTCCACACAGAGAGAGAGAGAGAGAGAGAGAGAGAGAGAGTCGAACGTCGGTACAAGTCAAAAGTAGGTAACGCAAGCACTTAATCGGGTAAGTTTCAAACGCAGCCGTTGGATGTCTATTGCTCGAATGACTCATTCATTGAGTGCTAAGGTGGGCGATGGTCTGCCTTGTTTTGTCGGTGATTGACTTATTGATTGGCTAGCTGCGCTTCATTTTCGTCACGTGGCGCCAATCACGAGAATGGCGACGAAGTTGCCGTAGATGGAGATGTAGAAATTCGGAGTCGGAAGAGTAGAAGAGGAGGAGGAGGAGGAGGAGGAGAGTTACCAAGGAAGAGGACAACTCCATAAGCATATCGATTCCATCCACTTGATTAGTATTAATTAATTGAGATTGATTGATCGGTATTGATTGATTGATATTTGATTCATCGGTTACTTGCTTGCTTGATTGATTGCATACTTGGGTTAAGGAGGGAGAGCAGGACGAGGACAGGGTAGGTAGTATAGTTAGGAGGAGGGAGGCGGAGGTGGATGCTAATATAGTTTACATGAGGAGCAAAGCGGGGAGGAGGCGCGCCAGGTCAGGCATAGCACCACGACGGCAACGCAAGACCAACGACGCTCACCAGCGGGCCTTCCACGTCAGCTTGCTGCTTTGGGAAGCCCCTAATCAAACATTTCAATAATCCACTGATCAGTTAATCTATCAATCAATCAATCAATCAATCCATCGCCCGCTCATTAGCAAGCTGATTAACCTTTCATCTTGATAGAGTATCGATCGACCAATCAATCAATCAATCGATCGATCAATCAATCGATCAATCAAGCGATCGAGTAGTCAAGCAATCAAGCAATCAAGCAAGCAACGGAGGCATGACTGTCGGCGGAGATCCTTCAGAGCCACGGAAGCTTGTCATTGTAATATTCCCAGATGGATTGTCGGAGGTATCGCCAGCCATGGCCGTCTTGGCGCTGAAGAAATGGTACAGAGAAGACACGTCCAAGGCGGCAGTGAAGTTCGCGGGACTGCGAAGGGGATTGCAGGTCTCTCTGGCGACGGCGCCCCCACCGGGACCCTTCACTTACACCTATTATTGCCTACGAGCGTTGGAGGACATGGAACCCCTGTACAGCGTCGGGTTCGCGCACATGCTGCTGATGGCACTGCCAGCTGTCCCAAGGGAGTACCGGACGGATGCTGACGTGGCATGCTCTCGTAAGTTGGCGGCAAAAATGCTGGTGGACGGGCTGCAGGGCAAGTTTTCCTGGGATGATAAGCGGCTCTTGTTCCGCATTGTCGTTGCGTTCAATCTAAGGCTGGAGGATCTCGACGACGCCGCCGTCGTTGGTGGTGGATTTGGCGGGAAAGAAGAACCCATCGCGAGTGGCGGGAACGAGCCCGATAGTGGCGGCAGCGGGAAAGAAGCTGCCGGTAATGGCGGCGGCGGCGGGAAAGACGCCGCCGGTAATGGCGGCAGCGACGCCGCCGGTGATGGCGGCGGGAAAGAAGACGGTAGTGAGGGCGGCGGGAAAGAAGACGGTAGTGAGGGCGGGAAAGGAGTTGGTGTGAATGGCGGGAAAGAAGGAGGCGGGAGGGAGGTGGTGATGAGGTTCGTGCATGAGCAGCTGGAGGCAAGGGCGCGGAAGACGGCCTTGGAGTTCCTGGACTTGTTTGATCTGCGCCTTGATCCCGAAGAGGAAAAAAACTTCATTGAGAAGATGGTGGTGGAGCGGAAATTGGATATTGCAATCGAATGGGCTGGCCGTTTAGGAAAGGACACGTGTGCTTTCCTGATCGAGAAGTTAAGAGAGAATCAGCAGTGGAAGCTCGCACATGTCTACGTGGAAAAGCTCGACCTCAAGGACCGATTCCCCGACTCATTCCAGCTTTATCGAGAAGGCACTGTGAGGAGTCTAGTCGCCCATGGCCGCCTTGATATTGCCGCCTCCATGACACTTGGGCACGAAGCATTGGGCAAATACTTAATTAGCTACTTGGTGACAGAGGGGTGCACGAAAAAAGCTGCGGAACTGTGCGCGAGACTTGATCTGCCTATCGACTTTGACGTCAACGAATTAGAGGAGGAGGAAGATTCATCGTCATCTCCTGGAAGTTTCCTGACCGTATCGAGCTTGATTCCCCCCGAGAACGTGAGATGGATTGCGACTATGGAGGGATTACAAGAGGCCAGGGAGATTCTGAATCACTTGCTCATGGAGTCTACAACCTCCTCCTCCTCCTCCTTCTACTATCCACCTGCGATTGGCATGGACTGTGAATGGAGGGCATCTCATATAAAGGGGGAGCCGCAGAGAAAGACGTCGGTCCTCCAGCTGGCAACGCTGGAACACGTGTTTTTGATAGATTTGATCGACTTGTCAGCAGCAGCGGAGGGGACCGAAGCACTGCAGCAATTCGTCAGCTGGATTTTCCAGGCACCTCATGTCCTGAAGCTGGGGTATGGGATGAGGTCAGACCTGACCCGTCTGGCGCAATCGTACCCAGAAATCCCAGGGTTCAGGAGATGCGAGAGAGTTCTCGATCTGTACGACTTTGCAGGCCTGCATGTCAGAGGAGGGCTCAGTGCATTGTCCGAGGTGTGCCTGGGTCTGCCCCTCGACAAGCGCTGGCAGATGAGCGACTGGGAAAAACGCCCTCTCTCCCAAAACCAGCTCGAATACGCTGCGCTGGATGCGCTCAGCGTCACGCACATCTTCAAGGCGCTTCTCACGAAGGGGTTGAGACGTCCGAGTCGGGCTCCTGGCTGTGATGCGACGGCCAGAAGCAGAAAATCACCCGTCCTGCTACCGAAACCCGCACCACAAACCGGAGTACAGCAAACCGGGGTACCACAAACCGGAGTGCCACTAACGGGTGCAGAAACCGTAGCAGAAAAAGGCTGCGCAGCAGAAAAAATAGGGGCAGCAGAAAAAACAGGAGCAGCAGTACCACAAACGGGAGTACCGCAGACGGGAGTACCACAGACGGGAGTACCACAAACGGGAGAACAGCAAACCGGAGTTCCACAGACCGGAGTACCAAAAACCGGAGTAGAAACCGTAGCAGAAAAAGGCTGGGCAGCAGAAGAAACGGGAGCAGAAGCAGAAGCAGAAGCAGAACCAGGAATCGAACCAGCAACCTTAGCAGAAGAAGAAACAGAGGTGGTGGAGTGGGAGAGCCACGTGTATGTGTTCGATTATAATACTGTCAGTGAAGGGAAGAGGAGGTCATCGTCGCCGGACGACTCTGAGGATGACGATCTGGTATCAAGCTGAGCCCAGGCCTGCTTTCGATGAGTGTACTCTCAGACCTGTCCTTGCTGGACTCACCGCAATTGGTGGAGACGGAAGTCGGTAGGAAAAGACCCAGACGTGTGTGTGGGCTTGGCGTCGCCCAGACCCGATCCGGATGGGAGCAGTAGGATGGATGTGTGTGGGGGGGGAGTTGGACAGCAGTGGCGTTGCTTCTGCTCAACTACCGGTTGAAGCTGAGGATGGGGGCCAGGTACATCAGCCTTCAGGCAGTTCGAGTCCACAAGGCTGATGGGGGTTGGGAGTGGGGAAAGGTGTGTGGCTGGGGCGGGTCGATTTTGCCTGGATTATTTGCTGATGCCAACGCCATGAAGGGTGGCGAACAATTTGCTGAGCTGGCACGAAACAAGATTTTGAGCAAATGTAGACTCTGCTGCGCTGGCAAGGTTAAAACAAGGTGTCGGTCAAAAAAAAAAAAAAAAAAAAAGGTGTCGGTTGACACTGACGCTTGCTTGCTTGTATCGTGTAAAGTTGCAAACACTTAGGAAGGATGAAGAACTGCCCAGGCTGCACACACACACACACACACACACACACACACACACACACACACACACACACACACAGAGAGAGAGAGAGAGAGAGAGAGAGAGAGAGA